TATTCTTCACATTCTAGGGTACTTCTAGTGCGAAGATCTCTTTGAAACTTTAAGTATTTCTCCAAAAAATCATTTTGACAGACTGCTAGTAAAGTGTACGGATCTGATTAACGAGTAAATTTCCTCTTTGAAAAATGGTGGCACAGAGTTCTCCTCGTCGTATGGATACGATAGTAAAACAAGACGTACGGATAGGTTTAATCTCGCGCAAACATTACTTCCATAAAATAGGGAGCAACTGAAAAGAGAAACAAGCGCTGGATTATAGATCTAATATAACATGTTCCAAAGCCCAATTGTGTATTCTTTTTTAAATAGCCAAATTAATTGTTATTGACCCCAGAAGGGACATTCGAATTTATGTACAGTATACAGTAAGGGTGTGGTGGTTAGTGCACTCGTCTCCGAAGCGGAAAGTCCGGGTTCGAGCCTCAGTTACGACACGGATCCCCCCCCCCTCCTGCCCACCCAGCGGTAATTTGGAAAGTAAAGGCGATGTGGAAAAGAACTGGCCACCCTACAACAAAATGTGGAATGCCCTGGAAGTTGTCTCACTAACAAGGCTACCCCAATTTCCAGATCGGATGTGGGTACAACTTTACTTTACATTACATTTTAAACCATCAAATGAAAATCAGAAAACACAAAATTTCTCGTTCTTTCCTTCTATCAACTATCTATCGTCCTGACCTCTCCTCCTTTTTTGGGGGTTTGTTAAACTCTTGTAATACCTGTAATCTTCGGTAATTATAATAATATGACTTTATTGTGTTGAAAGTGTTCCGTAACACTCTTACTAACGCTAAATGAACGCACGAAGTTGTAGGTATCCCAGAACTGTTGGTCTTGGATCGATGTCGAATGACCAGCAAGATTGTCCTCTGTCAAAGATAGTACATAACAAAATGGCCCTCTCAGCCAAAAAAGTGTCCGCAGGAAGTATGCTCTTTGCTTCAGATGGCTCTGCAGTGTGTTTTGAAGTTCTCTTTCGTTTTTCCAGAAGAAGAATAGGAATAGCACCTCCTTGTGAGCGCAGATCGACTGCTGTTCATCAGCTGGTCGGGTTCGTTCCGTGCGGAGTTTTAGTTTTTTAAAATATTTTAATGACCTCTCGCCTTTCATTTTAAAGTCAAATTAAACGAAGAAAACAATCACCCTTTCCTCAGGAAGAGGTTTTTTGTCAGCGTAACCATTAAAAAAAAGCGTTCTTCCGAAATTTATTCAAAAACTTGCTAGTTTCACTTTGATTTCTTTAACACAAGTAAGGTAACTCTGTTCGCAAAAGTGTGCATTTGCGAAGAGGGCGCCACCGAATTTTGAGGACACTTTTTTTTTAATTG